CCAACGAACGAAAATAAAAGTCTAATAGCCGCTACGGCACACTTCGATTGCATTTGTATACTTTCAAGAAGTTCCTTGAACTTACACTCAGTTCCATGAACTCAAGCCTCTATTAAGTTCCCTGAATATGTGGAATGTTCGACGAACTCCTGGGATTTTCCGTCAACTTCTATGAAGTTCCCAGTACTTCAAAGGTTTTTCCATAGCTTACAACTTTCAATTTTTCGATAACTACAACTGAATTTTTGCCCAGCTTGCTGAACTTGTACGAATTTCAAATAATTCATACAATGTTCCGTAATCATCTACAATGTCTCCATTATCTTCTGAAATTTCTGAGCTTCTACAAAGTTCTCTGAACTTATTATTAACTTCTATGAAATTTCCTGAACATCTACACATTTTGCCGAACGTCTATAAATCTTCTACTGATCTTTAACAAAATTCCCTGTAATAAACTTATACTAAGTTCACTGCATTATTATAAAGTTTCTTAAACTTTTAGGATTTTCGATGATTTTCTGCAACGTTTCCTAAACTTCTACGGAATTCCATAAATTCACAAAACCAATTAACAAATGCCCTTGTACCTAAGAGAAGGTCTTGGAGCACTTTTACGCAGTTCCCTGAAATAAAACAGAGATTCCCTAAACTTCCACGAAGTTCCCACGTCTATGAAGTTTTCCCAAATTTTAACAAAGCTCTCTGAATTTATAAGAACTTCTCTGAAGCTCTGGGAATTTCTCCGAATTCAACATCAAATTTCTATCTCTTATGGTTCATGAGTTATGATTTTTTTAAACAAGCAGATAGGGTGGCCCTGGGAAAATTGACTTTCTTTTAATATATTTTTATACGTTCATTTATCATAAAAAAAAGTTTGTTCTGGCAGATTTTAGAACATTTTATGGCGCAGATTTTTGCTGAAGCAACTAAGTTGTTTTCTCTTTAATTTGAAAAGTTATGGCTAGTCTTTGCTGAAAACGTGACCTTTTTGACGTAGGACTACATCTGTGATTTTTATATGGTGGTACACTTTATGAAAACCGAAAATGGAACATGTAACAAAATTATGAAAGATTTTGAACATTAATAACTCAGCTGCCCCTAGACCAATTTCAATAATTTTATCACCAATCAATCAGAAATATTTCTACGCATCAAAAGCAACTGATGATTTTCAACAAGAAACTATTGAAAAAGTGGTAATGTTAAGCATTGTCCAATATGCAAATAAAAAGTGTTAATTTTATCACTGTTTTCATGAAATAAACGGTCTTCCCAAACCCGGTCGTCATAATCGAGTACCACTTAATGGCAGGTGGTAGGTTAGATAGTCTACTCTTCTACCTATCAAGCAACAATGACTGGTCGTGGCAAAGAAGGCGCCAAGCGTCATCGCAAGGCTCTTCGTGATAACCGCCATCCGTCGTCTGGTTCGCCGTGGCGGTGTCCAACGTATCTTCGGTTTGATCTACGAGGTGTGCTGACATCCGTGATAGTGTCACTTACACTGAACACGCCAAGCATAAACGACCATGGATGTCGTCTACGCTTTAAAGCGACAGACACACTGTACGGTTTCTTAGGTTAAATCATCACCAACTTTGGCAACGAAATGTCCCTTTTCAGGGCCAACACGCTTCTTACAGTAAATAGTTGGAATAGAATTTATCTGTACCTGTTTGTCCATAGTCAGAACCACACGCCCCCAACGACCACATAAAATGCTCTCCAGAGTTGTAACCTTGTAACCAAACTTGGTAGCAGTGGTGCAAGTGATTTTGATCGATTCTCTTCATCAACTTTTTCTTTGCAAAAAATTACTACAAATTTGGTACGCCTACAATTCAAATACGGAAAGAGCTTAAATAATCCTACGTTAAGCTTCCGTTCGTGCCCCTAGGCATAGACGCTTATAAGAAAAAAAACGATCTTTCAAATGGAATTAAAAGTTTGAAAATCCGTATATGTACTCCATCTGATATATTGACAATTGAAAAGAGCATTTTTTCGAAGAAAGTTGCCATTAACTTTCTAATAAAAATTTTAGCAACCTGGTTGCCTTAGCAAAAACATACGTTATCAAAAGTTCTAAATGTGTCCAGAACGATGTTTTTACGAGAAATGAACGTATGAAAAGATATTCCAAGATTTTTTGGGGCCACCCTAACCTTGTTTAAAAAACATAACTCGTGAACCATAAGAGATAGAAATTTGGTGTTTTCGGCAAAGTTGTTTCAAATTGATTGTTTACAACTTTCTAAAACACTGCATTGGTCTATCTCAAATAATTAAAAAGTTTGCATTTTCAATTGACCCATTTTAAGGACCACCCTAATTTCACTAACATAAAAAGATCGGCCAAAAATTTGAAGAAACTTTCCCAAAGACACCATATATCTGAAACTGACGGTTTGGGCGCAAACATTTTTGTCTGCCTAAATACGGCTTTGAGACCATTGTGCATTGGCCACAACCGAAAATGTTCCGAGTACTCCCGGCTGTACGTATAATGGGAGGCTAGGCTATTACCGCTAACTGCACAGCTGGTAAATAATATTCTGATCCAAATTGATCAAAAGATTCAATTATCAGATAGTAGTCGTCGCCTACATAAAAACTGCACCCAATGAGAAATGGAATCCCCTTTTGAAAGCTCTGCCTGACAGTGCGTCTCGAAGAGGACCAATCCATCGCAGGTTTGTGAACCCGTTTCCGAAGCCCACAAACTTGAACCCTACACACTCGCTTCACGTAGGTGGAACGGGTTGCGCAGAGTGTGGCTTCTTCTGCATTTCGGTTGTCGCCATCCATCGTAGGAGTGTAAAAGTCGTTCACGTAGGAGGAGGTGCAACTGCACGGGATGAGTTGAGTGATTCACATCTACAGACGATTTCACAGTGTGAGCTTGAGTGTGTGCAACTGACATCTTGATTGTTTTTTTTTTTGCGATAACAAAAGTGAATTGTTGTTGGGCTTCCCCTTTCCGATCCCGGTAGATACGGTGATGGTCGTTTGCCATTTCCGGTGCTCAGTCGTCGTCAATTGAGTATTACTTTCCATCATCGAATCCGACAGATGTCGCACCCGCCAATGGTGCATATACCAACTTTGCTGTGTTGAGATTTTCAGAAAATCGACGATTTCTCTTCAAATACAATAATGACCCGATTTTGTAAGTCCCTCCGCGCGCATCATAGTTCTATCTTTCAATAATTTCACATAACCGTAGTTCGACATCTTTCTTATTCATCTTGAAGATGGATGTTTAAGGTATAGTTTGGTGCAATATGACCAATGAAAAAAACGCATGGGGCTGACAAAATCGTGTCCTTACTGTAATACTATTTTCGATGATAATTTTTTTACATAAGACATAATATATCGAACAATGTGCATCATTATCGAAATCTTTAATTAAAAGCGGAATTCTTCATACATTAGTAAGTCGATTTTCCACTAGCTCATACGATCGAAGGCAGCTCGCCCTCCTGTTGTAAGTGCTGTCAGAAGTAGTACGGAATACCTATACTGAAACTCAGCACTGATGGCGTTAAGCTCCAACTCGGATTAACACTTAATCCCTTCCCTGTTCGGATGATCTGCAAAATGTTTGCTTACACACTAAAATTACAACAGCCGAGCAGTTCTGCAATTTAGTTTGCTGAGATTCAGTAAAGCAATTGCCAAGACTCAGCTAACAAATAACAGTTTGCTGAGATATCAGCTAAAAAACAGATATCAGCAAAAGTAAATGCCGAGGTAATCGGCTGTTGAAGATTTTACAGAGCTAGATTAAGTGTGTAGAGTCGTGTTGATTAAATCTGATGTCGACATCAAAGCAGCCGGACATTCTTGATCGGGATTTAATCCGAAGATAATACCGGTTGGAGCTTACCACAATGAGTGACGTACGATTTTAGAAATAATGTCTCCATACGAATGAGTAAAAGTGACTCACTCTCTGAGTAAGATTCGTTTTCAGTGTAATTCTGCAATGTCTACTTGATAGGTTTGAAGTTGCTGGTTGATTGGTCCATCTTCAAGTTTAAGTTTAAGTCAGAATCCCTAATAAAAAATAACCATAAACGAACGATAACCCAAATCATCGAACCATTCCACAAATGGTTTGGATGATACCCAGAACACGTCGTTAAGCAAATTAACCATACAATTTTGATTAGGGATTGTTTGTATTTATGTACCACGGATAATATTGCAGAACCTGCGTAGAAGAATGGAAAGCATCCAGATGTCCTGTCTTGTCTTAGGTTTTAACCAAAGGAAAGGAAGATGATACTGCATAGTGACAGAGAGAGCGGAACATGTTTGCATTTATATAGATAGAAACAAGTTGGATTTATGCTCGGTGAGTTTCCCTGCCAGTCGATCGTTGTGGCGTACTGTTTCTTTTCGGTGCCACTTGGTGCATATATAATTTCACCGGATACTGTCCTGCGGGGCTTGTTGATGTTGTTCTAAGGCAGCGACGATGGGTTCGGCTCGAATTTGTGTTGTCTTTTTTTCTCTCTCTACAGAGCCTATTATCTCTGTGTTGCTTTATTATGTTTTCCTGTGGTGTCACAGTGTGTACGAGGGTTCGGTATCGGAGTTTTTGTTATGAGTCATTTTCATTAGAAAATAACTCCGGGAGGTTTTTTAGTGTTCGATACACGTAATGACTGCTGGTAAGACAACCGCACATACTAAAATTAAGCTTCACCAGGATTAATTTATCATCATGTAATTTTCATATGTCTACTTTAAATGCTTTGTCCACCGTAAATTTATTTGCTGCGCATCGAAAAATGCAATGAAACCTAACAAATTTGTTTTGGGTGTAAACTTCTCGTTCCATTCCTCACCGCATTTTTCTCCGTCCAAGAGGGGCATTGATCGATCAGTTTACTAGATTGTACAGTAGCTGTACACTGGTGTGTAAGTAGTAATCATTCACCCCATACTGATTCCGTGTTCATTTGCTGCTATTTTTTCAGGAACGAACCCTGGATCGAACGAAATCTATGAACTGGACCGTTCCCCTGCCATCTTCCGCCGCTGTCGTTCGTTGTTCGATTCCATGACAACGAAATCCATCCCGAAGCATCATCAACTGCCCCACTACTGGAACCATCAGCACTACCACCGCCACAGTGCCGAAATCAGTCGAATCGACCACAACCAATCCGGTGAAGAACGTTGGACGGGTTTTCTTACTGAGTGGAGCGTATAGGTAATTGAAGATCGAAGGCTAACACCCTTCCGGAGTAGTCCGGCGTAATAGGCGAGATAGCAATGGTCCAACAGTGATCTCCGCGGCTTCTATCGGCGCAGTGAAACCAGTGTAGAAACCTCCAAGAGGAAAAGTACAGAAACAGATAAATCTTGGTTCATCACGCAGCATCAATCTACCGGTTGCCTTCTGACCGACCGCAGAGAAGATCGCGCAATTTAGAAGAAGAGTTTTTGTGGAAAAAAAAGAAGGAGAGTAGTGGAATTTTCTGTTTGTATGTGCACGTGGCGAGAGTGAGAAGAAGAGAAGAGTAGAGAACTTAGAGTAGAAGAACACTGGACCAGAAGCATCCACAGCAGCAACAATGTTGAAATTTATACGAGGAAAAGGCCAACAACCTTCGGCCGAGCGGCAGAAGCTGCAGAAGGAACTATTTGCATTCCGGAGGGTAAGTGGCTACCAACTACTACAACACATCTAATCAACTTTCGGACATTGTTTTCCTCGGATCGAGATGGTTATCTCGCGTGTTTCTTAAATGGGGCTAGTGAGTGAATTCTTTCGAAAAATGTTTTATTCATCCGTTTCGTTGCGTCGTCTCGCGGCGGGAGAAGAAATGGGCCGAAGTAGTTCATACAGCAAATTGCTTTTAAATGGCATTAGAAGATTTTTTTCTCGAATGGGAGTGAGGAATGAGGGCGTCCTTCCTGCTGCTGTGTAGCACACCAACCACGTCCATCTTGGTAGCGATAAACAAAAAAAAAATGTTATGTGAAATAATTATACGTGCGAGAAAGGCAAAGCTAAACTACTCACACACGGCACGAGAGGGCGTCGTTTGTGCTTGCCCGCGAAGGTCTTACCCGGTCTCACCTCAACTTAAGAACGGCAGCGGCGTATATTTTGGGTCGTCGTAATTTCTTGGGAATTAATGAAAGTGGTGACGGTCGGGTGCTGTGCTTTTGTTTTGCTGTCAACCTCAAGTCTAGTTGTTGATGCAGTGCTGTTCGCAGAAAATTGCTGCTCGCTAGGTTTGGAAGTTGACCTAGGTTTGGAGGGAGCATATGGCTATATTACTCTGAGTTCGTAGGAGCTGATGCTTACATTGTTCTTTGCTAGAAAATGCCTACAATTACTAGTAAGCAAATAAATTTTGTTTTATGGACGCTCATGGCTGTACAGTTCGTATTACGCTAAAACATTTTGGGACTGTTGATTTCAGGTCCAGAACTATTCGAGGGTCCTGAAGACGTTGGAGATGTGTTCAGGGGACTACAAAGGCCGATGGATTACAATACTTAACGAGTTTGAGAGTCCTTCTTAGTTCTAGCAAGACACCTTATGCCTAGTTCTTCCTAGTATATGACTTTTAAAACTCGTAACAGCCTACATTTTGGAGAAGACAGCATGTTGCTATTTGCAGGCATTCATGAGTAACACGGAGTATTAGAATTATGTTTGAGTGTTTTTAAAAGTTTATTTACAGGCTTTAGAAGCTTTCCTAAACCTTACTATAATAATGAATAAAACACACACACACACACACACACAACTGGGTGGCGAATAGAGCTGGGATGGTTGCTATACAAGTTAAGGGCAGATACCCCATTCAAGAAGTGGTTGCGAGCTCATACGAAGGTATCGTGATCGGAATCTTCATATGTAGTTGTTACGCACCCCCGAGATGGACGATGGAGCAGTTCCATGAGATGCTGGATGGACTTACTGAAGTGCTGATCGAACGAAGACTGGTAGTCGTCGGAGGAAACTTCAATGCTTGGGCAGTGGAGTGGCAAAGCAAATGTTCCAATGCAAGAGGACACAGTCTGCTGGAAGCTCTGACAAAGCTTGAAGTTATGCTATCCAGTGAAGACATCAATCCATTATCGACGAACACGGAGAATGAGAGCGACCCAAATTTGAGTTTAGTTCACTCATAATCGCCAAAAGTGCAGGAACTCAGCGATGAATAAATTTGCCTCATGTTTTCCCAAGTTTTTCCAGGATTTTCCAGGGAAAAATTCCCGAATTTGAGAAAAGTAAAGATTGGATTCACTCAGTCTATTGGTACTACTCCGATACTGAATAAAATTTTCGTCAATTTCCACATTTTCCGGCAGATTTTTTAGGTTTTCCACAGGAAACCATGAGACAAATTGTACTCATCGCTGAGTTCCTGCACTTTTGGCGATCATGAGTGAACTAAACTCAAATTTGGGTCGTTCTCATTCGCCGTGTAACTTTCTGCAGTCCGTCACTGGTGGCAAACATGAATTGAAGAGTGTGCGAAGTAATCATCAGGCGATCCGACATGACATCGGCCAAAGGAATACTGTGGCAGTACGGAGCAGAGGTTGAAACTGTTGACGTTTTTTACGACACTCGCTTCGTTGTCATGCGCGACAGTCTGTTTTTATTCGTACTCTCATGCTCTACCGTCGTCTCTCTCACACAACACAACCGGTAGAATAACATTCGAGCAAAAAGAAAATGTTCAAATAACTATCATATGATATGAGTGATTTTGTTCTAATTCCTCAGTTTGGTGTAAATTAAACCATTTCTGACCAGAAATGTTATTCCTAGGACATCATAGCTTGATTTTTTCAGAATTCACACAAGCACAACATCAGCAGCTCTTATAATGAGAGAAACTAAAATACATACATTCGTGACGGTCTTCGGCGACAGTGTCGTATGACAAAGCCTGTCAAATGACATTTGAGTTTGGTACTGTACTATGATAGCTTGTTTTGCAAGTGTCGGAGGCAAAGGCAGTCGATTATCACAGAAAATGTGTCGACTACCGTGACCGCTTACAAGACTGGTACGGAGAACGAGAACTTGCGACCGGAACTGGAAGATGAAGGCCTTCGACAAGGATCTTTTCGTTGAAGCACTCCGTGTGGATAGGGGCATGTAGGGAGATCGATATTGTGCCGTGATAACGATCGACGTCAAGAATGCGTTCAACAGCCCCAGCTGGGAGGCCATCGCCGAAGCGCTGCATAGAATGAGGGTCCCTGACTACCTGTACAGGATCCTGAGTAGTTATTTCCAGAACCGGGTTGTGATCTACGAGACAAACATGGAATAGAGATCGATTAGGATAACAGCGAGAGTTCAACAAGGCTCCATCCTTGGTCCAACGCTTTGGAACGGCGTGCTAATGCTGAAGCTGCCCAGAGGAGTTGAGATCGTTGGCTTTGCGGACGATGTCGTCTTGACGGTAACAGGAGAGACGCTGGAAGAGGTGGAAGTGTTGTCAACCGAGGCGATCGACATGATTGGTAACTGGATGCAAGGAGCGAAGTTGCAGATAGCCCACCACAAAACGGAAGTGCTATTGATCAGTAACTGTAAAGCGGTACAGCGGATAGAAATCACCGTCGGGGAGCACGCCATAGCCTCGAAGCGTGTGTTGAAATACCTGTGAGTGATCATCGATGGCCGGCTAAACTTCAACAGCCACGTCGAACACCGCCTGTGAGAAGGCTTCGAAGGCCATCAACGCGATAGCATGAATCATGCCGAACAACGCTGGTCCCAGCCGTAGCAAGAGGCGTCTTCTGACCAGTGTGTCGTCGTCGATACTGAGGTATGGAGGTCCAGCCTGAGTTACAGCGCTGGAAACGAAGTTGAACCAAAGGAAACTGAGCAGTACGGTTCGGTTCATGGCCATGCGAGCCGTGAGTGCGTACAGAACCATCTCGTCGGAAGCAGTATGCGTTATCGGCATCACGCTGGCGGAGAACAGCGAGTGCTACAGGCGGAAAGAAGCCGGACAAAAATGGAAAGTTATGAGAGCGGAGTCGTTGGCTAAGTGGCAACAGGACCCGACCAGAAGGAAGTATCAGACATAATACACACAGTGTTACTGAGATATAAAATTATTCGTAACGTGGTCTGTTATAAAACATGTACCGTTTGTAGTTAAAATAACAAAAAATATAACAAGAAATCTTCCACATACTATCAAGAATATAAAAACTATTGTTAGGATTATATCATATTTTTAACACACCTTGTTGCAAAATAACCCATTAGGGTAAAAATTAAAAAGGTATGAACTGGACTTTATAACACGGTTTTGGGTAACATATTTTTTGAGTGTTTTCTATTTTTAGATTGTTGCTAAAATATTTAAAAAATCAACCCAACCCACCCCACCCCAACACAGCACCCCTCACTCTCTTTCCTTTTAGCCTGCATCACAAACACAAAAAGCGTCTATATAGCTGCCACAGGGATTCGAACCCAGACGTTTAACAATCTTGGCTAGAGGAAAATCTGGTGCCTTTACCATCTAGTCTATATCTACTGTTATCGAAGGAATAGATGCAAGCTAACCTTTTGTGTATGCCAGGCAGAGCCTTCTTAGTTCGCTGGCGCCGGCAACTGAGTTAAAAATAAATCGTGTGTTCCCAACACCTCTCACTTTCTGCACTCTTTCTGCACTGACGTAAACGGCTAAATATATTTGTAACAAAGTTTGTTATAATTCTCAAATATTGCCGTTTACATTGCACTCCCTAAAAATAAATTTTATTTTTTCTGATTATAAAGTAGCATAAGCATTAAACTTAGCTCTATGAAAGTAATTAATTTAAGTATATGTAACAAAACTTAAATAAGATGAAAGCGATTCATTCATTGCATATGCACTATTTGAATTCTAATACAGTGTTAGTTGCACATTTTGTTTGGTTATGCGTTGAGGTCTGTCTCCCACACCATTGCAAATTAAAGATATATTTGAGGTTTGTTTTGATTGCTAATGTTCGACGGTTAGTGTTGCAATTTTCCATTGATCATTGTTATTTGTATATCATCAAAAACATATTGTTTTTCACAAATTGCAAAATATTTATTTCAAAAGGTGCACGCCAAAATTCATAGAACGCAACTGAACTGTTAATTTATGTTTTTGGATTCCGTGTATGAGCGAATATATCATTGATTCACACTATTATTGCGCAGCCTTTTGATCAGAAGCGTCTTGCAGTGACAATACCAATTTTATTATGCTAGTTGTGCATTCTTAATCACCACCGTAATATTTTCAGGTATTACGGAATCAATATATAGTAGCCTAGTCGCTTTGGGCTAGGTAGTTTGATTCGACTTGCGAAATGAGGCCCCTGGATTTCCATCGAGTTAGGGAGAATCAAGTTAAGGAGAGATCGAGTAAAAGAGAGTTGAATGTAATAATTTATTTAATTCTTAGCATCCCAATCAGAAGACTACTGATCTGAGAAGAGAATGCTGTAAAAATAGGAGAAAAAGCACTAACTTTGGTCTATGGATTTAATATAAATCTCCCGTTCTAAAATTTTTCGTAGAAAAATGCATCATCTGGACAATACAAATGAATATGTTTGATTTTTAGTTTATCATTATCAAAAAATGCTTACCATCGAAATTTATTCATGGGCCCAATATTAGGGA